ATTATAAGTGACGAGTGAGTCTGTGAGCTCCTCACTGTCTGTGCTGTGAAGCTAATGTTGGTTAAAATGTGTGATTTCAGCAGAGAAACCTGCTCTGGATCCCAACACGGTGAAAATGTGGATGCTGTCAGCCAACGACATGAACGATGACGATGTGGTGAGTTTGTACACCGACTGAAGCGCTGAACCACGCACACGTGACAGTTTATTAGGCAGGCTGAAATCCTCTTTTAAAGAAAAATGTATATATTTCAGCACGATGTAGTTTGTGGGGATTTGCTGATTTTTTTTTTTTTCTGCAGTTTGCTCAAACCTGGTGTAATGCAACACTGATGCTTTCTGATGTTTTTCTTGTCCCTCGTGTTTATGTTCTGTGTAGGATCTGATGGACTCGGATGCTCTGCTGGATGAAGATGATTTGAAAAAACCTGATCCAGCTTCTCTTAAAGCTCCGGGCTGTGGAGAAGGAGCCAACAAGAAGAAGAAAGCCTGCAAGAACTGGTGAGGTTTTGTTTAAATCTCACATCTTTTAGAGAGATTTAAGACCAAGATCCGAGCTTTCAGAAATGTCAGTGCACTTTTAACCAGATATTACATGATTTACTCATGCACAACTTTTGGGCTCATGCTCATTTTCAGCTTCATGACTTATAAAATTTATGTTTGAGATGTCCACCTTAGGGACGTCTGCTCTCACTGACAGCATACAGATCCAGTGTTATGAGCAATCGGAAGTTTGCAGCGATCTGAAACTTTTGCATGAGCGTGAAGGACATCATGTGACGTGATGCTGTACTGTATGTTTGTGCAGCACGTGTGGGCTCGCTGAAGACCTGGAGCAGGAGAGTAAAGGAAAACAGAAGACTGAGCAGCCAAAATCAGCCTGTGGAAGTGTGAGTGTATACTTTCAAAAGCCTGCATTGGTTCCTCATCCCTCCTCTGGTTCTAATAAAGAAATAATAATTATCTTTGTTCTGTTTGTGGCAGTGTTACCTTGGCGATGCTTTCCGATGTGCCAGCTGCCCGTAC